AACAGCCCTGTCAAAATCCCTCAACCAATAGGAGGCCTGGTGTCCTTGCGGGTGCGTTCGCTTTACTTATTAGAGCGTCCCGTAAGGGCGGTTACTCTTTGGTTTATAAACTACCACCCTCCGCGGCTTTATGTACTTCACTTGTTTAATTTACAACTTTTTGGGGGGGAAAGCACAGTTAGTATATATATACCAGCACCTTACATAATAGCTACGTTCAGTGGCGGACTGGGACTAAAAATCAGCCCGGGAATAAAATAAAATAGTCCCTCCGTTGCCTTCCGCACAAAATATAGTGCGAGGTGGTTGCCATATCATTATCAGATGTGGACAGTTAAGTACATTTGTAAAGTTATTTATTTAGGCAATGTTGTTGGTGGGTGTTAGGGAGAGACCGCCCCTTCCAGGTGTGTGTGTGCGTTTTCGGTGTGAGTGTGGAGGGAACGGTAGGAGTTGTCTTCGAGTGTGGGGAAAAGTCATAATGATGAGTGTTATACTATTGATTGGTTCTGTAAGGCGTGGCAGTGGTGGCCGTCAATACCAGAAAATAAAGAGAACGTTTTCGACATTGAAGGCTCGTGATCTGTGATCTTGAATAGCGGTGAACGCTACAATATGAACAGGCTCGTGCTTGACCCACTGGTATTGTTTGTTTATTTATTTTGAAAATTAACTAGCAACGCCGTGCTGTCATATAGCAACTGCTAAGCTACTGCAGCAAACAAATCCTGGCGTCGCCCATGATTGCATATGATCAGATGTTCATGAAAACATTTATCTCTTTGTTTTACATTCAGGCAGAGGAAAACCTATTCCTGATTCAACAGAAATGTAATATTATGGACATTATGTAGTGATAGTTATGGCTGGCAACCTGCACATAAAACGGCCTGATAATCTGTTCTACAAAACATCACGGTGGGGGTATACATTCATTGTTATATTCCCTACTACTAGGATACTACATTGTATCACTATGCTTGATAAAAGCAATCAATACAGAGATGGTTTGAATAACGAAAGGTTTAATTAAGTTATCTGTTTGAGAAAAGGATAACTTGATTCACATTCTAGGCGTGTAAGAGGAAGTGGAGTTTGTCCTTCCTGTAGCAGTCTGTACTTCCTGAAGCAGTCTGTACTTCCTGAAGCCGTGTTCAGAGTTCTTATTATACATCCATGGTTCAGAGAGCTAGCGCTGACTGTGCCCCTGCATGAGCCAATAGCAGATTCATGTGATGTGTTGCGCAGTTATTAGTTTTTGCCATAGTTCCATACAACAAGCGAACGTTAGCTATGTCCTGGTTGCTTTTAGCCTAGCTTCTCAGATTGACACGGACTTTTGAAAAGCCGCAGAAATATCAGTTTAACTTTTCCCGGTGTGTGTTACAGAATAAATGTCACCTCTTTTTTCTTCTGTGCATCAGCAGGGTCATTGTAGATATTAATGAAGAGAAACAGCAAGAGCAGAACGTTTCCAAACATTCTGAGACCGTCTGCAACACTGTCCACTCTTCCTTTACTTCTTCTTCTTCTCCTTCTTGGAGGGTTATTAGCGGTAGTCAACCGAAGAATAGGTACTTTCCCTCCACCTACTGGACTGGAGTTTGTATCAAGGTTCATACCATACTTTTCTGATGTTATGGTCCAAGGGAAAGAAAAGTCTAGACTAGGTATATATATATATCTATATCTATATAGTTATATATATATCTATATAGTTATATATATATATATATATATATATATTATTATATATATATATATATATATATATATATATATATATATATAACTATATA